GTGTGTGTGTGTGTGTGTGTGTGTGTGTGTGTGTGTGTGTGTGTATTTTAAGATATCTTGGGTATAGGACCCAGTCTAAATATGAAATTAATTTATGTTTCATATTCTTCTTATACATATAGCCTGAAGGTAATTTTATGCAATATGTTTAATGTGTGTCTGCATTTTGACTGACGCTCACCACATGAGGCCAGGTGTGGAATTTTCTATCTGTGGCATAATGACAATGCTCAGAATGTTTCAGATTTTGGAGCATTTTGGACTTCAGATTTTTGGGTTAGAGATTCTCACTGTGTATAGAGAAAACAGTCCATTCTCGAGCTGTCCAAGTTATGAATGGCTTTGTTTGCAATTTGAACAGGATCTGGATCTGGATGAATACATTTGTTACTTACTTTCTGAAACTAAGTACAGGGTAAATGTTCAACCTAATATGAGAATAGTTCTTTATACAACTGGTTGTGTTTGCATGACTGATTTTTAAACTATACTGGGTAAATACTATGAAGTTTTGTTCTCTGGGTTCATGGTTCCTGTGTTTGATTAATTAGAAGGAACTGCTGATAAAGTTGTTTTTGCATGTTTTCCTTAGGTCTTGGCCTTTCTTCATAGCCTCTTCATTTCCAACAGCTTGACTGTGGAGCTCACACAGGATTTCCTTCCATACAAACAGCAGCTGCAGCTCAGTTTGCAGAATGTGAGTTTCATGCAGGTTTTTTCACCTGTCTCTCCAATTGAATTTTAGTCCCAGTGACCTTGAACTTGGAATTTTAGTTTATTGCATACCAAACAATTTGTCATGACATGCTGGTGTGGATCAGATATATTTTAGTGTACTGTATTCTTCTTCTTGGTCTTCCAGTTTCAGCTCTTCCCTGTCTTTCCAGCTGAGTGCTATTCAAACCCACCCTTCCATCCACCAACATCTCCATTTAGGTGTTGCTAATTTATTAAGTGTTGCTAATTTGATGCATTTCCTCATAACAGAATCCAGCTATGGGCTTATTTAAGTACAGGTTGTAAGTTATTTCCCTGGTTTGCCAAAATAGTCACTCTGGGTTTTATTACCACGGACACCCATTTTTATCCTCTCCTCCTATCCACCCTCTTTTATCCTCTCAGTATTTTTTTTTAGAGTTAAAGAAACAAATTTCAAAGGTTTTTTTCTACTTTTATTCTTATGCTGGTTCTTATAGTGGACATAGATATAGGTTTTCCATGTTTTGGGGCACTTATATTGCTACATATTCTTTTACTCACTCACTTATTTAACCCACAGTTAATGAACATTTATGGATTTAGAGTGAGCACATACTCTGTGCTAGACATTGTGAAATTCACTACAAACACCATAATGAGGCATGTAAGTGTTTATGGAGGAGTGACAGAAGCACAGATGAATCATATTCCCTTATGATAAGTGCTAGAATCAAGAGCAAAAGTTTTAAAGAAGCACAAAGAATGGAACAATTCACTTCCTGGTAGAGTCAGAGAAGGCAACACTGAGATCAGGTGATATTTGACTGAGTGTTGTATTGCATGAAACTTTCAGATATATTTTCAGATAAAAATACCAATACAATATAGTGGAAATAAGTCTCACTGGGTTGTTTAGGAGGATATTATTTTTGCTTTCTGTATACTTTCCTCTTTTCTGGGTACTCTTCTCTAGCATGTGAGAAGAGTATCTACAACCAAGTTAATCACTTGACTCTTCTTACATTTATAAATGACATCATGCCATAGTCTTGTGAGACTGGGCACTAAGGACCTATCTCTAATGGTTTTCATACTCAAACCTTTCAAACTGACTTGTCATTGTGTTTTAATTCTATAGTTTTAAATAGATTCTTTCTCACTATTAGCCTTTGATATTTGTGGGTATTAAAATATAAATTCTGTTAGCCTATTTTCAAACAGAACACTTGCATATATTTTATCTTCATGGATAGAATTTGATTTCAGGTCAAATAGACAGTCATTATATTTGAGGAAAGATGTGGAAGTTGCCATAATATTATCTTTGAGAACCTTCTCTACAGTCTCACTTGTTGTACAGAAGACAGTGTGGTGCTTAGCGGTCTAAGAGTCCTTATTTATTGGAGCCTTGCATAGCTCACATTGAGCAGTTGTGATTTTTTAAAAAAATATATTTTTGTTGAGATGGTCACAATACCTTTATTTTATTTATTTATTTTTACGTGGTGCTAAGGATTGAACCCAGTGGCTCACATGTGCTGGGCAAGCACTCTACCACTGAACTACACCCCAGCCTCCCAGTTGTTATTTTATGAGTATATTACTGTCTATACCTTTTTGTTTCTCTACTGGTCGTTAGTAACATTAAACTCCATAAAATTGTTTTCTAGTTGCTGTGCTATGAAGCATTTGTTTTTTGCTAGTTGTAGCACATGCTATAAACAGAAAACTCTGTACTGGAACTCTGACCAATAAATACTTATTCATGATGATGGTGATGATGATGATGATGATAATGATCATGATACTGATGTCTCGACAGACAAGAAATCATTTCTCCAGTACCCGGGAAGAGATGGAAGAACTTAAGAAAAGGATGAAAGAAGCTCCCCAGACATGCAAACTTCCAGGACAGCCAACCATAGAAGGCTATCTCTATACACAAGAGAAATGTGTGTGGGAACACAGGGGTATCCACTGGGTTACAGAAGCCTGGCGCCTGCTGCCACTTGACCTTTCTGATCCTTGGGCACCCATATCATTCATAGATACCTAATAACTGAAGTTCCAAGGAAGGTAGAATGAGAATAGTAAATATAAAAAAGGAAGAAAATTCAGGGGAAATTAAGAATTCATCTTTCAAAGGCTTTAGAATGATAAGATCCAAGAATTTTCTCTGAGATTCAAAATTAGGATTGTTATTTGTTAATCCTTCTGATGGCTCTTTGGGACAGAAAGAAAGGTAGGGCAAATGGAGGCAGAGAAATACTTATTATACCTACTATGTGCCAGGCATGGTGCTAACTGCTTTAACAGCACTGTCTCATTCAATCTTTGATTTCCCCTTATACCTATTTTACACCTGAGGCCACTGAGGCTCAGAGAAGTTACCTTATAAAAGTCACTCTATTAACAAATGACAGGCCTCAGATTAAATTCATGTTTGTGAGATGATGAAACTCATACTTCTCCCACAACCCCCAATACCATCCTCTAATTTTCGTTGAAATAATGAACATTAAGTATTACATCATCTAGTCACAGAGTGTTAGAGATAGTTCAAGCATTTTTACTTCCTATTGAAACCCATATGTACTGTTTGAATTTTTTTTTCCTTTTGAAGTATGACACCCCCAAATTCTGGGATTTCAATTCCTGCCCAGAATTTATAATAAGGTTTATAATAAGGGGAATGACATAAATAGAGATGTAATTTATCTGAGGAGTAAAGAGATGTGCTGGGCAAGCCCTCAGAGCTTTCAGAATCAGAGAAACCCCTAGAAGTGACTAGTGGAAGAGATACCCCTAGAGGTGACTTGTGGAAAAAATCATCACAGTTTATGAAGCATGGCACATTAGCAGTGATATCATGCTCTACCTCCTTAGATCAATTAAATTTTGATGGTTTCCAAACTATATTCTCTCACTTGTTAGGTTTATCTCTTCAACTCTGCATTGAAGGATTTCCTCAATGTCAACACTGTTGACATTTTGGGCTGGATAATTCTTTGTTTGGAAGACAGAATCTTGTGTACTATGTTGTGTTTAATAGCATCCCAGGCCTCTCTTCACTTTATGTTAATAGGATTCCTAGGTGTGACAATGTAAATATCTTCAGGCATTGCAAAATGTCCCCTGGGAGGCAAAATTGCCAGAGTTGAGAACCTCTGCTGTGTGCTGTGTGATCCTTCTGTGCCCTAGGTTTCTAATTGTCCAATGGGTACAACATTGTTACTCAGTTAAATGTGTGCTTAGCATCAATTCTTCCAGACAAGAAGAATTGGGGGTGCAATTGTATTGGGGGTGCAAGAAGATGACTCAACAGTGGATTTTTGTCATTAAGGAGTTAACAGGTCTTATGTGTGATATAAACAAATTTATCAATGAAATGTGTTAGGCACTTTGGGGCATATATCTAAGGGGTTTATTGGGGAAAACATGTTTGAACTAAGACTTTAGTGTTGAGTGGAAGTTTTAACAGGTAAAGAAATGGGAGAAGAAAATTCCATGTGTATACTACATACTTAAGAGTAAGCGGGGCATTATTAATAATTATATCACAACATGTATACATGAGTAAAGCCACCCAGGGGGGTGAGGGACTATGATTTGTTTGTAGGATTCCAGTTTGCCAAGAAAGGCCCTGGTTGACACCTTTTGTTCTGATGTAATTATTAATAATGTCCCATTCACTCTTAATTATGTTTTGGGTTTGAACTATAAATTATATGGTTACTTATTTATTTGGGATCTTAAAGTCATACAGTAAGACAGGAATATAGAGGGGAAGGTGCTTAAAGTTTGAAGATAGTGTGAAGGCCATGAGTGATTTATAATAAAGGGAATGACATAAATAGAGATATAATTTTCAAAATGAGTTTTTTTAACAAAGAGTAAAGACTAGACTCAAAACAGCAATCAGAGATGGGAAAATAAGAGAGAAGTCCACTGAAATTATTAATTGGTAAAGTAGTGAACTTGTGTTTTCTATGAAATATGGTATAAACATTTAAAAATACACCAATAAGGACTTTCAATAATTCAGTGCTAAATGTGATGGAAGGCAGCTGAACGAGAGACATGTGGAGGATAGAAGGGGCACGGCCCAACGACAAATCAAATGGGAAGTTATTTGCAAAGAAAGAGGAGCAGAAGACAGAAGATTCCAGATTCTGGAATGTGTGGTGGTTCCATTCATGGGAACATGGCAGGGAGAATGGGTTTGGAGCCAGCCAGGAGCCACTGAAAAAGAAGTTGGTAAGGTTATTATCTCCAGATATACAGTGGGCAGGAGGCTAGGTAAGGCTGGAGCTCAGGGGAAGGGAAGTGCTGCATCTGGATCTGGCTGTGATGAGCAGCCTGTAAACAGCTGCTGTTTTGTAGAGCTGAAATCCTGATTCTGTTAGCTCACTTTTGCCTGTCTTTGTAGGGGCCTTGGGAATATCCTGGGTGAAATACTACTGCCGTTATGAGAAAGAGACCAAAACACTCACCATGACACCTATGGAACAAAAGCCAGGGGCTAAGCAGGTTGGTTTTTTTTTTTTTTGTGCCATGTTTTTTGAGATGCATCTGTGACTACAGCTCAGGAAAGAATATATATGGACTTCGTGTCACATAATCAAGTCTATTACAGTCATGTGAATTTATCCTCTATGTGTTCTCCCTGGCCTGAGTTTACGTGGGCCACATATCATTCAGTTCGGTAAAAAAATAAAAAAAAAACTAAATAAACAAACAAATAAATAAATTACTCAATTAATTTAATTAACTTCAACAGACATTCTGAAAGTGTCTGTTCTGTTTCAGTCTGTTAGTATTACAAATGCCTGTTAGTTGTACAGAGAAAATATGCAAAACTAGAGATGCATTGCTTTTAAGAAGGCTTTACTACTGGATTGTTTATTTTCTATAATTTTTATTGGTACATTTTAGTTGTACACAATGATGGGATTTGTTACATATTTATACATACACGTGATGTAATGTTATAATTTGGTCAATATAACTTTCTGCATCCCACCTATTGGACCCTTCTTTGTACTGATCTTCCTTAGATTTTCATGAGAACTGTCCCCACCTCCAGGATTCTTTTAAGTAGCAACTTAAAAATATGAATCAACTTCCAGAATTGATTTTTAAGAGGAGTATGCCTGTTACCTACAGTTGAAAAGACCTAAATCTGCATTCTATGTAGTACTCAAGTTTTATCTAATATCTCTTCTTCTGCCTTTTGAATCTTTTCCCACTGCCTCAGAATGACAAGATCAATTTAAAACACTGAGAAGATAGTTTACTTACCTGCAAGGACCTGATGTTTTTTATACATCACATCCACAAACACACACCGTGGATATTTCTCAAGCTAATTGTCAATACAATTGTTCATATTTTAAAGTAGTTTAATATGTTGTTTTCCTCTGTAAATTGCTTATATAATGGTCTTGGTGCATGATTTTTTTCCTGCTGATAAATGTTTTTAATTTAACTGTCTCTGCCCAAAATCTCATAATTAATTAAAATCACAAAAAGTAAGCTGTTGATAGGAAAACAGTTGGAAAAGTGCTGAAACTGTGATAGATTTAGATATATTCAGATATGGAAGGTTTAATAATACAACATATGAAAAGAAGGGGAAATATTTAATAAGCTTGTAGTCATGGCATCATTTTTGTTCTTCACTGAGCAATGAGATTATTAGTGTGTGATTTTTAAGTATTTTCAAACTGTTGGAAGCATGTTAATAATCACTTGTCAGCATTGAAAATAGTGCAAGAAGACTCAATTAAGGTGGGCAAGAATTTTCTATGGAAGATCTCTCTTGTGAGACTTGTTCATATAAAATGATAGGTCTGGAATTTTGGTTGAAAACTGCTTCCTCCCAGTCCACTATGTTCTTTAACCATAGTATTTGTCACTTTGCCTTGAATATGGTTTGGAGATGGGATTGAACTCTGAGGACATGTACCAAACCTAATTTCTAGAATCCTCTCCCGTTCCACCATTCATGCTACTATTCTTGCATTTGCTCATTCATGACTTCTAACCAATCTTCAGTTTCTAGCCTGACAATTGTTGAAGTGTCTTTCAGCATAGTTCCACTAAATTCATGTCATGTTGCAGCACAGAATTTGTTCCAAGTCAGTCAAAACTTAGATATGTATTTGACTGGCAAGTGCTTATGAGCAACACTGGCCTGCAGTATTTTATTTTTCTACACATATTATTTTCCAAATCCTGGATATCCAAACTCCTTTTATAGACAGTATTACCATTTAGGCCTTTTATTTCCTTCTTGAATGTACATATTGCAAAGTCTAAGATAGATTTAACAGACTCCACTTTCATTTCCTCCTGGGCAGATGCGAGTAAGCCCCCCTAGTTTTTGTTTCCCTCTTCCCTTTTCATTGAATGGCTTCTTATAAAACCACAATAGTGTCAGCATAAACTGTCTTAGTGAGGGATTCTTTCTGGAATGCAAAGAGGAACTTAGTTTCCCATTTAGAAGGTGGGGGTGTGGGGCATAAAAGTAGTTAGTTCAATGTCCTCAAATTGGAGTTGGAAATGATTTCCTCTTGCTAATTCTCTGGTATAGTTCCTGGTACTTCTTTGTTTTTGAAATGTAAATAATAGAGGTAAATGATGCTCTAATAATAATAGTACCAAAATAACACTTTCTTGAATACTTGCTGTGTGCCAAACACTAAACTACACATGTTCTGTTCTGTGCCTCATATACTCTCTCAGCAATACTGTGGAGTAGGTATTCTTTTTCCAATTTGGAGATGGAGGAATTGGCCTTTTTTCTGATCATAACACTTACTAGTGTCTTCTATATCTCAGCCCATCAACTCTCATTTGTGTTGTACCATTGACTTTACTGATCACCTTCCAAATAGTATTTTATTGTATCCTCTCTCTTCCAACGTAGAAGAAATAAATACTACATAGGGAGTCTCAAAACTGGGTTTAAATCCCGGCTTTGTGATCTACTTACTTTTTTGATCTTGTCTAAAGTATTTCTCAGTCTCAGTTTGTTTATCAAAAGAGTGACAAAGACAATAATTTAGTTCATAAACATTTATTGAGCACCAACTATTTGCTAGGAGCTAGAGATAGAAAGAGGAATAAGACAATGCCCATGTCCTTGAGGAGTTCTCATTCAAGTGGGAGTATTAGACATAAAAACAGGAAAGTTTGATATAAAGTGCAAAGAATGGGGTGGGCAATATATGGGGTTGGGGGAAAGACTTTGGAGGAAATTAAAACGGAAATGCAGTTTGTACTAAGTAAGAGCTTAGTCAGGCAAAAACAGACAAAATCACTTTGGCTGGAGACAACAATATATGTAAAATTGTAGAGTCATGAAAAAAACATGATATGCATGTGAGTGAGTATTTTGGCACTGATGGGACAAACTTGTGGGGGGAGGCCAAAGTGGTGGGCAGGATATAGGCCCCTAACTACAATGCTATTGAAGCTAATGTAGTTGAGAGTTTAAAGAGGGAGGGTGAGTACATGAGTCTTTCACTCATCTTGAAAGACTAATAGGTAGCATCCCAAGTATTGGAATAAGGAAGACATATTAGATTTAGAGTTGAGGGTTTATAGTACAGGAACAGCAAAAAGTATTGACCTGCAAGGGGTTGAGTGTGCAATGAGAGAGATGTATTTGATGATTAGATATATGGGCTGGTTTGGATGGCATGTTGCATAGGCACAAATCTGGTACTTGGGCAATGTTCCTGAATTTGAGATAGCAAATATTGCCATTTAATAGATTGTGAAATTGAGACTCAGAGAGGGAAAATAATTCCCCCAGGGTCACATAGCTCGCAAATGGCATAATTGAGATGACTCTAGGTCTTAGATTCCTAATTTTTTGGTATTTCCACTATATTAACTTAGGTTTCTTCAAGTAAGCCATTTTACTTCTCTGAACTTCACTTCTCTCAGATAGTTGTGGTGAAGAAAGCTGGTTTTAAACTACCAGCATAATATGGGACATTTTAGATAATAAATGTTACTTCTGTTTTCTATACCCCACACACACTGTGTTGAAATGATTGAGGGAAAAGTGAAAAACATAGAACAGGGAAGATTTAGTCTGTAGACACAGTGGGTTTCAGTGGCTTAAAAGCCCACAGACTAAGGTGAGCCACACTGTTCTGTACATGTGGAACATCAAATGCCACCTCAACAAATACATAAATTTGCTTTTTTTCTCCGACTCATCCTATTATTGGAGAGGTTTTTTTTTTTTTTTTTTTTTATGATTCCTGTCATCCTCAAGAGCCTGGGGTAGGGACCAGAAATGTTTGTCCTCCCTCTTTCATCTGCCACTTTAATGAAGTTTTTTGCTCAACTTTCTCTTGCATTCTAAGGATGGTTTCAAAAGCCACTTACCTTGTTACAGCCTCCTGACACAGAGGTCTCATGAAATTTTTATTTTGTATACTTAATGCTATTTAGATAATCCATTTCTCCTACACTATCCTTGGGTGATGTATATTGTGTTTCCTATTTAATCCACTATGCTTGGGAAAGAGTGCTTGCCTGCCCTGAGCATTTTCTCATCTCAGCCATGCATTTGTGGAGCAGGGAGAAACCATCTGCCATCTTGCTGCAAGTAGTGTTCAAAGGGACAGGGTTTTTAGTGAGTCTATACATGGCTCCTGCTGCCTTCACAGATGCCTTCTGAATGACACCAAGAAAGTTGCAGGGGGAAGAAGTTCCTGTGTATTTTTTAAAATTACATGTTAATCCTTCTGTCATATCAGGGACCCTTGGATTTAACCCTGAAATACTGCGTGAGAAGGAAGACAGAGTCTATTGACAAGAGGTTCTGTTTTGATATAGAAACTAATGAGAGGTAAGTTATGCTGGTGAATTGGCAATGTTGCCATGTGCCAGATGCTGAGCCTGGAGAGGTCTTTTATTTTTCCTCTGTCATTTCTTGATGCAAATGAGCAAGTGTATTAAAACAGAGTGTCATGCCGGCTTTTCAGTCTGCCTTTCACAGAGATCCCTGTTTGATCAGCCCACAGCTGGTTTTCTCTGTACATGCTACAGGCACATTTGCCTCACCTGTTTTGGGCAAAAAAAAGAAAATCACTCCTAGGTTTTAGTTTGCTGTCACACGTGTGAAAGTTCCATCTTTGGTGATGCTGCAAAAAGGATAGGACGACAAGTTTGATCTCTTAAAAATCTCTCATCATAATAAAAATGAGTTAATTGGCATACATCTTTGAGGGAAGGCAGATTAGGTGGAGGGTGGTGGTACCATGGGGAGTCTTGTGGCCCACTTAGTGCAAAAATGTTGTAGACTTTCTCTATTTTGCAGTTATTTATGTCAACTAGAATAGTTTATCATATCAGCTTTACTTGCAAGACATGGCATGCAAATTTGAGACTTTGGTTCCAATATTTTTCTCCAGTTGTCTTCTTTTTTCTTCCCTGAATCTGAACCATTTTATTGGAGGAGAATTTAACCTTTCAATTTTAAAATTAAAGTATTTCACATTATTTTTGAAAAAGGCCTGCTTTGGGAGGCTGATCAAAAATTTGACTGAATAAACATGTTTCTACATTTTATTTTAATCTGCTATCTGAGTAATAGAATATAGACTCTATAGAGTCTCTGGTCTGTAGAGTAGAATCTAGAAAAATGTTCAGTTTGCTAGAAAGGACCTTGATGGGTGAATTATAATATATGAACAAAAATAGTGACTGGAATCATAAAGATTAGAGTAAGATATGAGGGCACTTTTCTTTCCCCGGAATAAGTAATTACTAGTCTATTTCCCTATTTGAAAATTGGGATGTTATTATGGGACTCTCAGAATTTTGATTTGTGTATCTATATGACTTCTTTGTTAAAAATAGTATCACTATGATAGTAAATGTAGTTACCAGTAACCATGAGACTGTCACTTATTTTCCTGACAGTGTCAAGCCTAGTTAGAAGGGAAAAATGATTGCAGGTTCTTGTTTCTCCTTATGAACCTATAGTGTCTTTGGTTATGATGCATCAAGGTGCTTAGTGTTAAAATTTTCCTTGTCTAGTTCTATTCTGATTCCATTTTCAGTTTAAATTTACAAGCTATACTAATTAGAACAAATTTAAAAAAGAAAAAAAATCACAAGCTACATGCAAAGAGTCTCCCTGACAAAAAGCAGTTTGGCTTTGGCCCTGAGGTTAGAGGCTGAGACCAATTTTATTTTATATTTTTTGTACCTTGTGTTATGCATAGCTCATGATAAGTAATAGTTTGGGTGTTTATTTTTAAATATCCTTTCCCTTCCCCAGAATGATAAGGAATTTTGAGACTAGATCCCAGGAATTGAAATTCTGATGAATCTGTCATATTAGTTTCCATATATTGTATTCTTTAAAAAAATCCCTCACTTAGTCCCTTAAACGTAAGTTATGGATGAGAAGACAGAGACCCCCAAAATTTAACTAATATTTAACTGAAATATTAAGTATTTAATTTGCCCAACAAAAGCCACATGATAAATGGAGAGGCTGACCTCAGTCCCTGGTCTGTAAGTACCTACAGCCCCTGCCCTTTGTTATTTTGTGCCATTATATTTCATAAACCGAATGAAAATGCTGTGAAATAGAGTGTTAGAGATAATAATGAATAGGTGATGAGAACCTCTCTGCAAGTGAAATTTTCTAAGGTGTATGGCATCTACTTTCCTAGGTACTTAATCCCATGTAAGGAATGGAGTTATGCTTTTTAGCAGGCATCACATATCTCTGCTCATATTCCCTGAAGAACAGAGGAAAAGTGTTCTTTGAGTCTCTCTTTCTTTCCTATCTTTCCCTTCCCTTCCCTTTCCATTTTCCTTTCTTTCTACTGAGAATTGAACTCAGGGATACTCTACCACTGAGCTACATCCCCAGCTTTTTTTCTTTTCTTTTTTCTTTTGAGATAGGATATCACTAAGTTGTGAGGCTAGCCTCGGATTTTTGATCCTCCTGCCTCAGCCTCTTGAGTCACTGAGATTACAGGTGTGTGCCACTGTGCCCAGCAAGTTCCTTTTTTTATTTCAGGAAAAGAGGGTAAACTTTTAAAATTTGAGTGGTTTTTTTTAACCAGTTTTTGGAAGCCCAAGCTCATAGCACATCAGACTGTCTTAATCATAACAACAATAGCAGCTGCTAACTTTTGCCAAGTATTTACTATGTGCCAGGAACTGTTCTCAGCCATTTAAGTGCATAATTACCTTTATTTCTCACAGCAGTCACACAAGATAGGGGCTGCTGTTATTCTCTGCTCACAAAGGAAGCCAGGGGGATGAAAAATTTAAGCAACTTGGGTTACACAGCTACTCAAAAGGTAGAGTCTGGGATTCTGTTGCTGAATGTCATACATGCCTTTTGGTTCTAGATGGAAGGGCTGAAATTATAAAGGTAATTAGTGGAAGAGTCTCAGTTAGAACTTAGTATTTTTTATACTTTGTCATTCTGTTTGTAGTAATATTGTTCTTTAAATTCTTCTTTGAGTCACATCCAATAATCTCCAAATGTTTCCTCTCTATAAGGTCAAGAGAGGACAAATAATGACTTTTCAACTTCCCCAGTAGGGATTCTGAAATCCAGGAGGGCTCTAAAAGCATATGTATTCTGCAGTTTGCTTTTATGTATGGTGTTCATTTGCTTGTTTTCCTTCCTTTTGACTTTGGATTTCAGATGAGTAGTTATCTTTACAAAGAGCATTATACTTTTGAGCCCCACAAGATATATCCAAAAGATGAGTGTTTCTTAGAGAGAGGTGAACTCAGAAGAATTCTGTATATAGAACCAACTTCTGGTATTCAGTTGATTCTGCATTAAAGGCTACTTGGCTTTCCATTTAAGGGGTATTTTAATGAAGTAAGACATGGAAGGGTAGGTAGAATAGGAATCCCATGATATCAGCACTGCAAAGGAACTCCCTGCTCATGTGTTCTAAAACCCTTTACAGATAAAGAAACAAAGGTCTAGAGAGGCCAAATGACTTATCCAGGGTCTCTTGTTATTGTTCTTATGATTCTTTTCCTCTGAGAGAAGTCTCATCTGATCATAGAAGAAGTGAGAGGAACCAAGAGAGAGATTGCAAGCTGACTTTATGTCTACAATAGTATGGTCAATCCCAATTTCCAATTTGGTCATGAAGGTTAAAAAAATCATAAAGAATATACAAACCTGAGGTATCTCTGGGTATAGGTAATGTCTCAGTCTATTCATGCTGCTATAACAAAATACTGGAGACTGGATAATATACACAACAGAAATTTGTTTCTCACAATACTAGAAGCCGAAGTGCAAGATGAAATTGCTGGCAGGTTGGTGAGGGCCAAACCTCTGCTTCTAAGATGGCATCTTTTTTCTGCATTTTCTATAGAGAACAATTATTGTGTTCTTACAAGGCAAAATGAAGGGAATGGAAGGAATTCATTCCATGAAGCCTTCTATGAGGCTCCTAATCCCATCCTTAAGGGTGTATACCTCCTCTTGGCCCCACCTGTTAATATTGTCACATGGGTGATTACTTTTCAACATATGTATTGGGAAGATATTCATATCATAGCAGTTAGCAAGTAAATAGAATATAATTGAGTTTGAAACCAACTGCCATGTAGAAGAGGCTTTATAGTGTAGTGGTTAAGAATATGGCTACTGGACCATACTTTCTGTGTTTAAACCTTTCTCTACCACTTATGTGCTTTGTGATTTTGGATAGCTTCTGTAGGCTTCACTTTCCCTTTCCATGAACTAGAGATGATGAGTATAGTAACTGCAGAATGGACTGGATGAATTAAATGAGTTTGTGCATATAAAATATTTAGAACAGAACCTGGCACCTAGTAAGCATTTGAGAAATATTAATTGTTGTTATTCGTCATAAGATTGCTTCTCAGCCAAAAGGCCTCCTCTCTGTAGCTTAGCCAGTCTTCCTGTTGCTGAAATCTTTCAAACTGAAAATGTTTCTTGGACATCTAAGGTGGTAGAAGGAGCAAAGTTCTTTTTCTGAAAGATGAATGTGCCTGTGGTGTACATACTCACCCAGCAGAGTGTAGACCAAGTGACTGATTTCCAAAGAGGCACAAAGAGCTTTACTTTGGCTGAAGCACAACAGGGTCATTTTACATGGGTATTATGGTGACGTATCTCAATATCTGCCTTCCTGTTTCTTTGCTCAACCCTGGCATGGAATCACCAAGATACCACCAAGATACCATCTCCCTCAGGGTCCTGAGAGTTACTGTTGTCTAACATTCCATTATTGTTCTAGTTAAAGAGCTTTTTAAGCTGGGTGCAGTGGTGGTGTACATCTATAATACAAGCTACTGGGGAGTCTGAGGTAGGAGGATTACAAGTTTGAGGACAACCTGGGCAACTTAAACCATGTACAAAATAAATATTTTTAAAAGGGCTGGAGATGTAGTTCAGTGGTGGAGTGCCCCTGAGTTCAGTCCCAAATACAGATAAATAAATAAATAAATAAACAAACAAACAAACAAACAAACAAACTACTTTTTGAAAACTTAGAATTCTGTAGGACTGTGGCTTGCCAATGGGACACTTCCTAGGGAAGTGATGGAACCTAGATCACAAGACTCCATTCCCTTGGGCAAATATCTGCTTTAAACTTGTCATTTTTCCCCTCAGACCAGGTACCATCACTCTGCAGGCTCTATCAGAAGCTAACAGAAGGCTATGGATGGAAGCTATGGATGGGAAAGAACCTGTAAGTTGCCTCAGATACTAGGAAAACCTCAGCAACGTAGTCCAATGTATGAGTGCCCTCTAGTGGTGTTGGTGGGTCTAAGACAATTAATTCATATTGAAAACGTTAAGAGCTGGAAGGAATCATAACTTGCATATCTCGTTTAATAAGTAAAGCAACTTGAATTCCAGAGGCGACTAGGATCACCTTCTGAGAAGGCATTGAAGCTCCCTGCTCTAATGTTAGACTATATAGCTATCTATGCCCATAAGACCTTAAGAAAGGGTATTAAGCTTTTTTTTTCCAAATTATATTATTAATATGTGTTCATGGAGAAGAATAGAAATAATTGTTATGGCTGTAAATAAGCATTTATTAATAAGTTATCCAAAACAATTTTTATTCTTCCTTTTTCACCCCTAATTCAGCATATTCTCTTTCAAGGTTCAACTACTGCAGGAGATAGAGATGTCATCCTGTATCCCAGTATACTCCATTTAGAACACTGTTAGGCAGATGAACAATTGATCTCTTAAAGTGTGTATATTTTCCTAAAAAGACCAATATGAGAAGTCAGAAATCACTGAAGTGCATTCTCTTTTCAGTCTCTTTCTAGTAGATTTCTTTTGGTAGCATTTATGAAATAAATTATATCAGCCTCCTAACATTTGAATCACAAAAGCATGGATTTGGGTCCTGGTTCTATGATTAAATTGTTGTGACCTTGGGTGAGTTATTTTACCTCTCTGACACTCAGTTTTCTTTTCTTCACTAAAATGGCTTTAATATATTTAATAATTTTCATTCACAGGGTTGCTTTGAAAAATCAAATGAAAACTTTTCTGTAAATTCTTATGCATTACACTCATTTTCATTGCATCTCACGGATCTGAAGGATAGGCGCAAAGCTACTGAAATTCAAAAACATTTGTATACAGTCTAGAATCCTTGCTTTGTTTCAGCCAAAAACAAACCACAAAGGGAAATGCATTTCAGGTTTTTCTTTCTTTGTGTCCTCAGTGCCTTGGTGAGTAAGATGAGTAACCAGATTCCAGGTTGCATTTATTATAATCCAGCAGGTAGCAGGAGAGAGGTATTACTATGAGGACTGCCATCCAGGATGTAGGCCAGGGCCTGTCATCCTTCCAGTCACCTCCTCAAACTTGATGCCTGTGAAGTTTCTTGAGGAAGATGATAGGTGGTCAGCTAAGCACTAGAATTTATTTCTTAATTTTTTCACCTGCACTTGTTCTTCCTTTAGATTTTTAAAGATGGAAGGATACAGGCAATCCTTTGCAGAGAATGGTGTTAGAACATGGGCCCACTGAATATGAATCCTCACCTAACTTGATCATGGCAGTCTTTTCATATATGTCTTGTTTATTAAAGCAGCCTGAAAGGCTGGTCAGCTCTGAAATCTCTATCACTGAATTATCCATAGGTATATACAACATATACAGAAAAGTTTCTTTTTGAAAGAAGAGGCTGTTAAAGAGGCCTCTAACAGATGACCTGTAAAGGGCTTATTTCCTGCAGCCTCATATTGCTAATACTGTTGCTACTTGACTAAACATCCCAAGCCACTGATCTTACACATGATGTGCATCACTTTGATTAGAGCATCAAGGATCAGGGCTTGAGAGAACATCTATTCCAATCCTGATCACTTTACTGATAGAAATTTTGAAATCTAGAGAATGAAAAGGGCATGCTAAAGATGTCCTAATGAGGTAGCAGTGGAACCAGTACTACTAGATTTCAAGAAGTAAGAACTTTCTTTCAGGGCTATTACATGGTTACCACAATGTGTATTTCGAGACTTCTAAGGGAGGGGGGGCTGGGATTGTGCTAAGTGGTAGAGCACTTGCCTAGCATATGTGAGGCACTGGACTCAATCCTTAGCACTGCATAAAAAATTCTAAAAAATAAAGGTATTGTGTCCATCTATAACTATCTATCTATCTATCTATATATCTATACCTATCTATCTATCTATATCTCTATCTATATATATGTATATCTTTATACATCTATGTATCTCAGAGAAATCTTGGTAAAAACATGAATCTGTTTCAGATTGACTCTTGCCTTTCCAAAGAGAAAAATCCATTAACTAGTCTTGGGGATGGAGTTTGGTATTGAAAAATCATTTAAATTTTAGCATTAATAGCCATTACCCAGGCATCCATAAAAAAAATCATTTCTTTTTTTTTCATGCTTTCTAGCTCCGTCATAAAAATGCTCTAAGCTTTATATAAAGTAAATGTCTAAGATGGATTGACTACTGCTTCAGTTACAGTAATGAAATCTGGCACAATTTTCAGGGATTGGGAAACTATTTTCTCAGGATCTGGGCAAAGATGATTTTGTTTAGCCTACTTTCCTTTTTGTTCCAGCCCTGGAGTCAATATTTGCCCTGCTTACCTATAGTGATTCACAATAGCCATGGCTCTTTCTGTTTCTCTTCTTTTGTAGATCTACCACAGCCCCATAACGAAACAGGAAGAAAGTGAGTCATTCAAATTTCTGCTCTACTGACATTATAAACTGCAGGCTGTCCCAGTCATAGTGAATGCTGACATTAATGTAATGTACTAATGATGCAACACTGAATGTTGGATGCCTCTGTGTGAAATGAAATTCAGCTTTATTTTTAAAATCATTTATTGATTGAACTAAGGAAGTCAGTTCATTTAGCAAATGGTGGGGATAGTAGTGGTGATGTAGAGAAACACATTATGTGTTTTTTGTTCTAGACACAGGATAGAAATAGTGTGTATTTCTGAGCTAACATTTCACATTTGAGGTCACTCATGCCTAAAGCAGACAAAATGCAATGGGCTCAATAAAAATATTTTGTGTTATAAGAGTTAAAACTCTAGATATTCCCTGAATAAAAGGATCTTTCTATTTAAAGGTGATTGGAGATGAGTAAAAAACTCCTTAGTTGTCTTACTGTTGCCCTTAGCATGATCATTGAATGTCTGATAGGAGATGTCCATTGTAGTAGGATCTAACTCTGCTTTCCTTTGCTTGAAACAGTGGAGCTGAATGAAGTGGGGTTCAAGTTTGTTAGGAAGTGCATCAATATCATTGAGACGAAAGGTAAGATCTGAACCACAGTCTTGATATTGTTTAAATCTGGTCATTGTCATTTTATCCTGGCATTATTTCTCTAATGTAGTAATGGAATTATCTATTGGTCAGGACCTTTCTTGGGAATGACAACTACTAATAAACTTTATGCACTGGATACAATTTGCATAATTTCAACAAATTCTAAAAACAGTATCCAGACATATTTGCATAATTCGTAGTTTCTTGTTTTTAAAGAGAAATCACATCAAATGGTTTGTAAGGTATTTTGAAATAGTATCTAGTACCTTCAAGCAATGTTATGATGGTGGCATTGTAGATAAACAAGATTTCAATTTCTGCTATAATATAGATATAATCCCAGCAACTTGGAAGGTTGAAGCAGGAAGATCACAAGCTCCCTATATGTAGGAGACCCTGTCATATAATATGAAATCAAAAGAGTTGGGGATGTAGCTCAGTGGTAGAGCACCCCTGGATTCAAAAGAAAAGAAAAGAAAAGGAAGGAAGGAAAGAAAGAAAGAAGAAAGGAAATAAGAAAGGAAGGAGGGAAAAGAGAAGAGAAAACAAAACAAAAAACAAACAAACAGCAACGATGGCAACAAAATATCATACTGGTTTAAAAATTGATGGAGCCAAGCTAAACTTAGGCACATGTGAAATTAACATGGTTTCTTGATGATGATACTTGTTGGCTTTCCTCAGAAGATATTTAGAATGTAAGTTGGTGTAGAATATGAACCAAGCCTCTTTAAACTTCAAAATGTTGCTTCAGTTTTTTCTCAGTGCAGAGAATGATTTTTTGCTTCTTATCTGCCATACTCCAACCTCTTCTCCTTTATAACGTTGCTTGGGAGCAATGTGAGGGTTGATATTTCCTCATGTTCAGTTGAACCCTAACTTCTTTGCAATGCAGTAACACCATTCTCACCTATTTGCTGCCACTCACCTAAACATGTGCTTCTATTTACTATGTGGTGTATTCTCTTTTCTTCAGATTAATGGGAAATTGGTACAGTGCAAATGAAAGTATGGATGATTAGGAGGAGATGCTTCGGAACTGACTCTTGTGTACAAGTACAGAAAGGAAGTACTCAGGAGGAGTTGGAAGTTCTAATTCTGTAAACAAAACTAACCTGATTTTCTTTTCCTAGGCATCAAGACAGAAGGCTTGTACCGCACTGTGGGCAGCAATATTCAGGTTCAGAAGCTGCTGAATGCCTTTTTTGGTAACAATTTTGTTTTCACAATTTTTATTGGAAGTAGTTGATATATTAAAGCAAATGTTATTGGAAGAGAAAGGAGACATTGTTAAGGAAGGTTGGAGAATGTGTGTGTGTGTGTGTGTATACTTTTTGAGATGGTATCTCACTACATTGCCCAGACTGATCTCAAACTCCTGGGCTCAAGTTATCCTTTTGCCTCAGCCTCTGAGAAGCTGGGACTTATTGGCATGGGGCACTCCAACTAGCCCACAGAAAGTTTTGTTTTTTGGTACCAGGGATTGAATCAGGGGTGCTTAACTGCTGAGCCACATCCATAGCCCTTTCTTGTATTTTACTTAGAGACAGGGTCTCGCTGAGTTGTTAAGTGTTTTGCTAATCTGTTGAGGCTGGCTTTGAACTCGCAATCCTCCTGCACCAGCCTCCAAATTCCTGGGATTACAGGCATGTGCCACCATGCCCAGCTCCACAGAATCATTTTTAAAATGTTTTATTTTTTATTTGTTCTAATTAGTTATGCATTTTCAAAGGTAAGATGTGTGCATATTTTGCTCACTGTGTGGAGAAAAAAGTACAGTCATATGTTGCTGGTGGGACTGCAAATGGGTGCAACCACTATGGAAAGCAGTATGGAGATTCTTCAGAAAACTTGGAATGGGACCACCATTAGATCCAGCTATCCCACTCCTTGGTTTATACCCACAGAACTTAAAATCTGCACACTACAGTGATGTGGCCACTGTAGTGTTTATAGCAGCTCAATTCACAATAGGTAAACTATGGAACCAACCTAGGTGCCCTTCAATAGATGAATGGATAAAGAAAATGTGGTATATATATTTGTTGGAGTAGTAATCGGCTTTAAAGAAGAATGAAATTATGGCCAGTAAATGGATGGAGTTGGAGAATATCATGCTAAGTGAAATAAGTGAAACCAAAAAAAAAAACAAAGGCTGAATGTTTTCTTTGATATGCAGATGCCAATCCACAATAAGGGTGGGGTACTAGGGAAGAATAGAGTTACTTTAGATTAGGTCAAAGGGAGTTTAAGGGGGGAGGGGTTTGGGGGTAGGAAGGAAGTAGAATGAATTAGACATTATTACCTTCTTTACATATATGACTGCGTGACTGATGTGATTCTATAACATGTACAATCCGAAAAATGAGAAATTGTACCCCATCTATGTATGATATATCAAAGTGCCTAAATGCATCATTCTACTGTCATATATAACTAATTAGAAACAATACAAAAATTGATAAAGAAAAAAATATTTTCAAAGGTAAAATACGTGCATATTTTGCTCACTGTGTCAGAGACAGTCTTAAAGATATGGTTGTCATCTTGCCTCCTTCACATCCCATTTATTCCTCAAGTTGTTTGCAATTTGCCTTTTACCCTTGCCACTCCACAAGAACTCCCTGGCCTTGCTTAGCAGGTATCCATACCTGTCAAACCCAATGAGTGCTCTTTAGTCTCTATTTTCCTTGATCTCCTTGTTGACCACTTCTTTCATTTTAAAACTTTCTCCTTACTTAACTTCTGTGACACAGCACTGACCTGATTCTACCTTCTTGTAGTATTTCTTGTCAATGGCTCTTAATGGATCTTTTTCTTTTTCTTATCTTTTAAATCTTGTATGGGTATTTCCTAGTGTTCTTATTTCCTGTTACTTTTTCTTCTCTCTGTTTTTCTATTGACTGATTTTTATCCTTGTTCTGGGTCACATTTTCTTTATTTTAAATATATATCTACTTATCTTTATTAGATAATAGATATCATGACTTATGAAGTGTCTTGATTTTGTTGACATAGTTAAATGAGCATTAAATTTTGTTTTGAAAGAAATTATTTGTAGATAAGCCTGATCATTCAAGGTTTCTTTTTAAGCTTTGTTAGGCCAGTCATAAAATATCATTTTCTTGCTGGTTTAGTCCTGCTAGTAAGGCCTTACTTCTTGTCTCTACTAATTAGAACCCAGGCAACTCCCAACTTTGTGAATTCTGATATATATATATATAAAACCAGGGATTGAACTCAGGGGTACTTAACCACTGAGACACATCCAACCCTTTTTAATATTTTATTTAGAGACTGGGACTCACTGAGTTGCTTAGGGCCTTTCTAAGTTTCTGCGGCTGGCATTGAACTAACAATCCTCCTGCCTCAGCTTCCTGAGCCACTGGGATTACAGGCATATGCCACCATGCCTGACTAATTTTCAGAATTGTTTAGCTTAAAATTTCCTGGTATTTTTCCCCAGCCTGTGGAGTTTCATCCTAGGCTTATTTTTCACTCATGACTTTGTATTCAGCTACTGATTCAGGGGAACCTATAGGTAGGTTTTTGTGAGTTCTTTCTCTACATAGCACCCTCTACCCTTGTACTCTGGACATTCTAGCTGTATCAGCCTCCAGCAACTTTGATCATAGTCTTTTCAATTGAATAACACTTCCATGCTCAGCTTGAGTTCTCACTCCCTTTGCTTTCCTCCACAACGTTCTTTCAGGTAGCAAGCTGTGGTGCTAATAAGACATGTCTCGTTTGTTTTACTTTCCTCACAGTCATAGTCTTGTGCTATCCCTTGTTGCTTCATAGATACTACTGTCTGATTTTCTAAATGTTCCACCAGGAGGGCAAGTTTGGGACCAGTCATTGTGCTATGCCTGGAGTGGAAATCCCTCTGTGTGGTTTGACTAGCACCTGTGTGCTGACAACTCCCCCGATCTCTATTTCAGATCATCATCTCATGAGTTCTAACTAATGTGTCTAGTTGCCCTTTGCATCTGAGTTTCCCAACCATGGTTTCACCATGGTACATATCAGAATGATCATATTTATATTGCATGGCATCCTAATCATATCTATAAAGGACACTGAGGAAAATAGACATGAATGAAACAGTAAACCCTAAAAGATGAGGAATCAATGTTGGGATCACTGTAAAGGCTCTCTCTGCATAGATGTCCCATAGGTATCTGCATTTGATATCTCCAAAACTAAACTCATAGTGCTCTTTTTGTGAGCGGTGGTAAGGTCAGTTTTCACAAAGTGTCAGAGAACAAAATGAGTGTGGAAAACTGCAGTTTGGATAAAGCACTTTTTTTGTGATCTTTTCTTTGATACATGGCTTATCTCTCACAACCATGCAGGCCTGACTCCCTACCCTATTAGCATTTAAGGATGCTACAGCACGCAGTAATGCAGTAATGGCAGGTGTGGTGATTTTGAATTACAGGTTACATCATTAGGATCTAAGTATCTATTTTCCTTAATGATGTTCTATTTCTTGATTTGAAAATTCAAATTGCCTTATTCGTGGCCAATTTACAACCCAAATAATTACCTAAAAGACACTTTTCATATGTAAAATAGCTGACAGGGTAGCTCAAGATATTGAGTCTGTGCAGAGTGATTGAACTTAGATCAAATGTTTAGAATTCTGTTTCCATTACCACTACATTTTTCTACCTGATGCATAATAAGGTAAAAGAAAATGCTATGCCTGGCATCCTACTGATTCCCAAAAGGACAGAAACGATTCTCCCAAATTGCACATCAGTTTAATTTGAATCAGATATTTAAGAAAGTGGTAAGGTTAGCATATCTTATCTATTCAATATCATAACTCATAGGAATATTTGAAATATATTCCAGGAAGTTCTGGATATGATAAAACAGTGTTATTTTTCTTACTTAGGTATAAAACTAATTATCCCAGATCCTTTCCCTAAATCTAAGAATTTCTACATCTACTGATGATCATCATTCATTTCTTCTTTCATTCAGTCAACATTTTAGGATCAGGCTTTATACTTGGGGCTGTGTAGTAAGCAGTGAATACACTACCTACATTCCCAACTTTGTGGGACGCACATTCTACAGAGAAGGCTGTCTCTCAGCTAGCTCATATTTTCTAATCATAATTTCCTTTCTTCTATATACTTTTTCCTGTTTTGTCTTCTGGGGTTTCTTGCTGGGATCCTCAAAATTGTCTTGTCTACACCCCTCAATCTTTGTATTGCTTTCCTAATATATTCTCATGCCACTAGGGACTTGCTGCCTGAGTTGCATGGGGATCCAGCACAATTTATCCAGGAGGAAAAATATTCATTTCCTATTGTGTTTCCACCACCTTTTCCTGTCTTCTTTATCTCTCATGCTGTATGCCAATCTAAAGGACACTTTTAGCCATTAACTGAAACTACTCACTGTCTTCTTTCCCTATGCCATCTCCTCTAATATAAAACTATGGGATTTCCTCTATTGCTTATTAAAGGTTTTATTCTTCTCCTACCTGAAAATTGGACTTTTTTTTTTCAATACTGGGGATTGAACCCATAGGTACTTAAACACTGAGCCACATTCCCAGCTTTTTAAAAAAATTTTGAGACACAGTCATACTATGTTTCTGAAGCTGGGCTTGAACTAGCAATATTCCCACCTCTGGCTCCCAAATTGCTGAGATTAGAGGTGTGTACCATTCATCCAGCATTCAACTTTGATCAGCATATTTAAACATATTAAAGATAGCTGAAAGGAAAAATAGGAAATCCGACTCCCTAATAATAAGGTGTTTTTTTTTTTTTTTGGTACCAGAGATTGAACCCAGGGGTGCTTCACCACTTAATCTCATTCCCAGCCCTTATTATTATTATTTTATTTTGACACAGGATCTCACTAAGTTGCTTAGGGCCTTGTTAAGTTGCTGAGGCTGGCTTCAAATTTGTAATTCTCCTGCCTCAGCCCCCAGAGTTGCTGGGATTACAGGTATGTGCCAGTATGCCTAGCAACATATTCATATTCATAGGAGAAATACATAGTTCCCTAAAAAATGAAACAAAAACATACCACACTTACGTTTAGGAGCTGCAGGACTTGAAATCTATGCATTCATTTTGAAAGGGAATCTAATAGGATTTTTCACTTTCAATGAATATAAAAAATATTTTACTTCTAAAGCCAGTACTTGTCTTTTATGTATGTATGTATACATATATGTCAT